CTTGTCGTTGCCCAATGGGCTCATGAACAAAGTGGCCAGCGTGGCAGGGATGGAGTTATGCATAGGCTCAGCAGCATGGACTTCCACTCATCAAGGCCAATTTGGCCAAAGCCACTGCTGAGTGCCCAAAGTGCCAGCAGTAGATAAAAAAATCAAACCAAACCCATTGCTGTCAAGTTGATTCTGACTCACAGCAACCCTACAGGACAGGGTAGAACTGCCCCATTGAGTTTCCAAGGAGCACCTGGTGGATTCGAACTGCTGACCTTAGGGTTAAGCAGCCATAGTACTTAACCACTACACCACCAGGGTATCCCAGCAGTAGATACCAACCCTGAATCCCCAATATGGCATCATTCTTCGGGCCTTTTAGCCAGCAACCTGGTGGCAGGTTGATTACATTGGACCACTTCCATCATAAAAAGGGCAGCATTTTGTTCTTACTGCAATAAGACAGTTACTCTGGATAAGGATTTGCCTTCCCTGCACACAATGCTTCTACCAAAACTACCATCTGTGAACTTACAGAATGCCTTATCCACCATCACAGCATTGCCTTGGATCAAGAAACTCACTTCACAGCAAATCAAGTGTGGCAATAGGGCTATGCTCATGGAATTTACTCATTTTACCATGTTCTCCATCATCCTGAAGCAGCTGGCTTGATAGAACGATAGAATGGTCTTTAAAGACTCAATTATGGTGCCAGCTAGGTGGAAATACCTTACAGGGATGGGGTAATCTCCAGGAGGCTGTATATGCTCTCAATCGGCATCGAATAGATGGTGCTGTTTCTCCTATAGCCAGGATCCACTGGTACAGAAATCAAGGGGTGGAAATGAGAGCAGCACCACTATTACCCTAGTGACCCACTCACAAAATTTTTGCTACCTGTCCCCACGAAACCCTACGCTCTGATGATCTAGAGGTCTTAGTTCCAAAGGGAAGAATGCTCTTACGATGAGACACACCACTGATTCTATTGTACTGGAAGTTAAGGATGCCACCCAGCCACTTTGGCATCCTCAGGCCTCTGAATCAATGGGCATAGGGGTTTGCCATATTGGCTGGTGTGATTGATCCTGATTACCAAGAGGAAATTGGACTGTTATTACACAATGGAGGTAAAGAAGAGTATGTCTGGAATACAGGAGATCCCTTAGGGTGTCTCTTACTACTACCATGCCCTGTGATTAAAGTCAATGGAAAACTATAACAAACCAATTCAGATAGGACTACTAATGACCCAGACATTTCAAGAATCAAGGTTTAGGTTACCCCACCAGGCAAAGAATGACGACCAGCTGAGGTGCTTGCTAAGGGCAAAGGGAATATAGAATATGTAGTGGAAGAAGGTAGTTCTAAATACCAGCTACAACCACGCAACCAGTTGCAGAAATGAAGACAGTAATTGTTATATTTCTCCCGTTTTACGTGTGTGTGTATATGTATATCAAATATATACATTACATAGCAAATATATTTTCTTCCCTCCCTTAACCCATTACTTATTATAAAATACAAGCTGTATAAGGGGCTAGTGTGTTTTCAGTTGTTGCATGTTGTATCATGTTAGGCACAAGTATGACTTTATAATTGTCTTTATTTGGAGATTATTTATGGCTTAAGACGTGTATAGGTGCCAGTGTGACAAGGGATGGACTGTGAGGGTTAATGTTATGTGTCATCTTGGCTAGGCTATGATTCTATGATTTGTGATTTGGCAGTCACTGTGTAATCACCTTTCATTTTGTGAGCTGATGTGAGCATCCAATCAGTCAAAAGGGGAATTTCGTTGGGGGGTGTATCCTACCACCTGTATATAAATGTTCTGGCAAAGCTCGCTTTCTCGACCCTGCACTCTTTTTGCCACCTGACCTCCAGTTCTTGGAACATAAGCCCCCGGCCATGGAACCGGGATCGACCAGCACAGTGATGAGGTGGTGGAACCCGATTCCGTGTGTTTCCTAAGCTGCGGACTTAGGGTTTTTTTTTTTCCTCCTCGAGGATCCAGGTCGACCAGATATTTCTCTTTGGGTCTCGGACCCACCTCCCCCATACTTTGACATCCATATTGGATACAAACTCTTTTCCTTGCTGGAACAAGCTGCTATGTTGTGAGCTGTACTTTTAAAAGGCCAATGTGGCCAGGAACTGAGGGTGCCCTCTGACCCATAGAAACTGTGATGTAATAAATGTATGTTGTTGTAAGTTACTAAGTTTGTGGTAATTTGTTAGGTAGCAATAGAAACTAATATACCTGGGTTACAAAAGTTAAAGACCAATGTCCACTATTGTCATAATTCAGTGTTTCTCATTCCTTCCTGTTATTCCATGAAGAGGCTATTTTGGACAATGATCAGAGGTGTGATCCATATCAGCAGCCCACCCTTGGTGGCCCACCAGAATGATTGGGGATGCCTCAACCCTCTGCCAGAGCTACTAAAACAATTTCTGGGGCTGGGGCCCATTAATACATATTTTTTAAAAAACTCTGCAGAGTATCTCGTCCAAGATATGTATTAACTACAAAGGGAAAAAAACCTTTATAAGTGGAATAATCGGCAGTAACCACCTCAACCAAGTGATCGTTAACATCACCAGTAAGACGTATCAATATGTATCCTCTGATATGTTGCACTTCTGTGGTATTATTGCCAAAAATGTAGAACCTCAATATAATCATGACAAAACATTGGCTACAGCCCAAATTGAGAGATATTCTATAAAATAACCTGCCAGTGTCCTCCAAAATGAGCCCTGGTGGAGTAGTGGTTAAGAGCTCGGCTGCTATCCAAAAGGTTAGCAGTTCGAATCCACCAACCGTTCCTTAGAGACCCTGTGGGGCAATTCTACTCTGTCCTATAGGGTCGCTATGAGTCGGAATCGACTGGGCTGCAAATGGTTTGCTTTTTTTCTTTTTCTTTTGATTTAGCCTCCAAAAGTGTGTTAAGTCATGAAAGACAAGAAAAGACTGAGGAACCACTACAGATTGGAGGAGATGAAAGAAAAATAACAACTAAATGTAATGTGGGATCCCAAGCTGGATCATGGGCTACTTAAAGATCATGAGTGAGAAAAACCAGTGAAATTTCAGTAAGTTCTATAGTTTAATTACTAGTATTATGTCAATGTTAATTTCCTGGTTTTGATAATTGAACCATGGTTATATAAGATGTTAACATTAAGGAAAGCAGAGTGAGGGATATATGAGAACTCTTTGTTTTGCAACTTTTCTGTAAGTCTAAAATTATTTCATAGTAAATACAAACAAAAAACCTCTACTTGAGGGTTTCTCAAGGTCTTTACTTTTATTCTTCAAATCTACATGTTTTCCCCTTACTTTGGGGCTATCACCAGGATTGGGCTGGGGGAGAGGCAGAAGACCACACCAGTGTCATCTTGTCAGAAAATAGAAATATTTGCAAGGCTTCATGCATTTTGAAATGTTTTCCCCTTTTATTTTGTTTTTCAAATTACAAAAGTAATATATGTAGTAACAAGTAAAACAATACAAAGATATTTAAATAAAACAACTGCTTACATTTCTCTTCCCCGCCAAGGTAACCAATGTTAACACCTTGGTGTGTATCCTCCCACTTTCTCTTTGTTCATATAAACATACACATGCATATATAAACATATAGGGGTTTGTAAAAAACAATTTTAAATAGAATCATATACATTATTCTGCAATTTGGTCTTTTCAATTAACAATATACTATGAACATCCTCACAAATTATTAGAATTCTAGTTCCCCCCCCCCCCCCCCGCAAATGTCTTTACTCACACACGTGAGACATACTTTTTTTTTGGTCTAGTCATTTACATATTTTTTCCTTTGGTTTTCCTTTCCCTCTCTCTGAATCCCCCATAACCTGTATCAATCCCCCCTCAACCCAATACACTCTTCTGTACTTTTCTCCATGCATATAAAACCATACACAAATATATATGGACACACATTTATGAGTCATTAACAACTAGAGGCATTTTTGTCATTTGTTTACAAAAATGGGGTCATATGCACACTTTTCCCTGTCTTGTTTTTGACTCAAGAAAATACCGTGAACTTCCATTCAAGTCCACAAATAATCCATTTGTCCACTTTAATGGCTGTATAAACATTCTATGGAATGGCTATACCTCCCCCACCAAATTTCCCTACTGATGTACATTTATTTTGATTCCAGTGTTTTTGACATTAGGAATAATTTTACAATAAATGCCCATGTTCATCTGTCCTTTAGGTATTGGAGCTTTTATTTCTAATGGGAAGATTCCTCAAAGTGGCATTGCGGGGCCAAACTATCTGTATGTTAAGTTTTAATAGACATTGCCAAACTGCTTTTCAAAAGAGCTGTAACAATTTATGTTTCCACCAGCTGTGTATAAGAACATCCTTTGTGTCCTGCAGCAAAAACCATTCCTGCTCTTAATTTTGTCAGCCTGATTGCATAGTATTATCTCATTATAACTTTAATCTACATTCCCCAATGACTACTAAATGAGGTTAAACATTTTTGAAATGTCCATCAGCCACTTGGATTTGTTCTTCTCACAACTGTCTTTTCATTTTTTAAAAAAAATATTTTGATGTTGAGAATATACACAGTACACTAATTCAATAACTTCTACATGTACAATTCAGTGACACTGATTACATTCTTCCAATTGTGCAATCATTCTCATCCTCCTTTTCCAGGTTGTTCCTCCCTCATTAATATAAACTCACTGTCCCCTAAGTTTCCTATTTAATGAGATGCTGCTGTCAATTTGATCCCATATAGATAGATCTTAAAAGAGCACAATGCTCAAGGAAAACATTCTTTACTAGTTAAGCTAAACAATTTTGGTTTAAGAAGACTTCAGGGGATATTTTTGGTTTAAGGTATAAAGATTATCTCAGGGCAATAATTTCAGGGGTTCACCAACCTCCATGGCTCCAGAAAGTCTAGAGTCCAGGAGAATTTGAAATTCTGTTCTGCATTTTCCCCCTTCTGCTCAGGATTCTTCTATAGAATCTTTTATCAAAATGTTCAGTAGTAGTAGCTGGGTACCATCCAGTTCTTCTGGTCTCATAGGAAAAGGGTTTAGTTTAATTCCAAAGGAAATGCATTATAAATTATTAGGTGCTTATTATGATCACAGAGTAAAGCTCTTGATTTCTGTAACCTGCTTTCTTAGAAAATTATTTTTTCAACTAAAAAAAAAAATTAGTTTCCTCATTTATTGATATACAATTATACCATCAGCAAAAAGGAAGACTTTTACCTATTCTTTTACATTGTTTATACCAGTTATTTAATTTTCTCTTTTACTGCCTTCACTGGAACCTCCAAGGCAATATTTAATAGATATATTCCATAATAATAGTGATAGTGGCATCCTGATTTCCAATACTATTAAATTCCTGTTTTTTTCTAAAGAGACTCTTTAAGTGGCTACCATCTATTACAATTTAATTTATATTTTATTAGATTAGGAATGGCTGCAAATTCTTTTAAATGCCTTGTCAGCATCTATTGATAGTTCACATTTTTCTGTTATTAATTTTATTGATACATAGTAAGTCCCCAATTGTCCGACTTACAGACAACTCCTACTTGCCCTTTAATGTTATGTAAGTTTGCCCTCTCTTTGAAATGACGGAACGAACCCCTACTTGCAACAAATTCATCACAATCATCTTCACTTGCTGCACATGCAGCTTTTAAATCATTGAAAAGACTCCGAGCCTTTTCTTGCACTAAAGGCTAAATAAGAACTGTATGTACCTGTTCTGACTAACCTACATTCGACTTAAAAACACAGGAACGGATCTCATTCATAATCCAGTGACTGCCTGTACTTCCTATTACTAAACTGGCTCTGCATTCTTGGAATAACTCTTACGTGGTTATCACAGTGTAGCTATTTGCTATTATTTTCATTACAATAATTGATTCTGTATTCATGAATGAGACTGGTCTGGAGTTCGAATTTTCCCACTATATTAGGTTTTAGTGTTAAATTTATTCTGACTTCATAAAATAAATTGGGGAGCATAGTTCATGGATTGAATATTTTAAGTAACAACTGGAATTATTCCTTCTTGAAAGGTTAGATAGAACTAATCATGAAATCATCTAGGCCTGGAACATTTTTCAATCATAGATCTTTAATCACTTTTCCAAATTCTTCAATTATAATATTCCACCAATTTTTCTACTTCATATCACAATTTCCATAACTTATATTTTGCTAGAAAAGCATCTATATCTTGTTTTAAAATATGTTGATCTAGAGTTGTATTAGGTATCTTATATCATTCTTTTACTCACTTCTATATCTATAGTTATGGCTCCTTTCTCATTCTGGATCAGGTATTTTTAAAGGGAGGCAAATCTTGAACAAGGCAGGTTCCAAGTAGCCATTTCTTTTCTTGTATGGATGACATGGCAGCTCAGGGAAGCAGAAAGACTTTTTTGAAACTTGAGATTTAGTGTCCAGGGTGTTCACAAAGAAATATAAGGAAGATAAATGGAAGTTGCTGGATTAATTTACAAAAGATAAAAGGAAAGAAAAACTCTCCTTCACTGGTCTCTGCATGAAACATTTCTGAATTATAAGATCCATAAAAAGAGTGTCCCTTCTACTAATATGTCATATTTTAAGCAACACTAAGAAAATAGGAATAGTGTACAATGTACCAGAGCCACACTACTTTTTGTCAAATAGTGAATGTGTTGAGTAATCAAGTTCACAGTATTTTGTTCTCCCAATATCAGGCTGTGAAACTCTTCCTTAGCTTTGCATTTTCAACACAAATATGTTTTTAATAAAGTGTTTCGCTGAGTTAATAGAAGACTTATAACAAAACACTGCTTTATTACTTAGGAAAGGGCTCAATAGCAACTGCTACAGACATTAACATTTATTATGAAAATGTGGAGAAAACATAACTGGTATGTTAAAGTTATTTTAAAATAGCTGACCATGTTATTTAAATTATTATTATTATTGGCTTTTGTATATTTATGACACCAAAAGACAATGGTGATATTTAGTGTAGAAAACCTCGATGGATGGCATTCTACGTAAAATATGGCATATGTGTTTGATATTCACAATTTATGTTAAGTTCACATTTATAATTCCAAAATACAAACAGTGCTTATTACATGGCTCGCTGCAGAATGTACCATAATACACCTAAGTCTCTTCACATGTATTTTGTATTCTGTTGTCCTTCCAATGAATACATTTTTGAATTTTCATAAACCATTTCTATGGTTTATAAAGTATTTTCTATATTCTTTTCTATAAAAGTCTGTATCACAATTGGAGCATGAGTTCTGTTATGGTATGGCACACTTTGCCCGAATTCATTAAATTGCTAAGATTTCTCCTAAGGATTAATTCCACGATACACAATGAAATTGGATATCTTGCTCAAGGCTTTCCCACACTTATCAGATTTTCATTCCTACAGGCATTGTTCCTAGCATGAATTTTCTGATGTCTACTCAGGTTTGTCTTCTGGTAGAAAGCTTTGCCACATTCATTGCACCCATAGGGTTTTTCTCCTGTATGAGTTCTCCAATGTTTATTGAGACATGACTTTTGGCTAAAGGATTTCCCACATTCTCTGCAACGATAGGGTTTTTCTCCTGTGTGCATTTTTCGATGAACATTGAGGTATGATTTCTCACCAAATGACTTCCCACATTCACTGCACACAAAAGGTCTCTCTCCTGTATGTGTCCTCTGATGCTCTGTGCGGTGTGACTTTTGGGTAAAGGCTTTCCCACAAAAGAAACATTCAAAAGGTCTTACCCCAGTGTGAATTCTCTGGTGTTTAATGAGGGTTGACTTATGTGAAAAGGCTTTCCCACAGTCAGTGCATCCATATGGTTTCTCCCCAGTGTGACTTCTCTGATGCCTAATGAATTCAGACTTATAGCAAAAGGCTTTCCCACACTCACTACAGACGTGGGGTTTCTTTATAGGTGGAATCCTCTTTCGTTTATACACAAGAGAATTGGTTACTGCTGGTTTATACATAAGTGCTGGGTTATGGCTGAAAACTTTCTCACACTGAGTGCATTCCCAGGGTTTTTCTCCATTAGGTCTTCTGTCATGATTCATAAACTGTAACAACTTCCCATACCCATAATATTCATCTTGTTTTTTTGAACAGTTTCTATTAAAACCAACCAAGTTTAAATTATGCTTCAAGCTCTTTCCACATGGGTTCCAGTTACTGGGGCTTTGAATTGAAGGAAAAAGTTCAGCCCTCAGAAGAGATATTTTCCCAAACTTATTACATCCGTGGCTTCTTTCCTTGGGCAATGTTTTCTTGTTGATAAACGCACCTTGCCTCAAAAGTAGGTCTTGATGTCTTTTCCTGTGGACATCAACTTCCCAGAAGTCTTCTGGAGAAAGCACAGTGAACCATTCCTTATGAGTTTTTCTATTATTACAAACTGGAATAAAACTACTTGAGAATTGCCCTCAAATTTAAAAGGTACACAGTATATGAATAGAGAGAATGAGCTGTAACCAAGACAATGAAGGGAAGAGTGTTGTAAGGGTAAAGATTCAAAACACTGGCACAAATGAAATGGAACATCAGTTACAGAGTGCAGAGAAATAATTTTGAAGAAGATGGGATGATACTATAGAGCAGGAGTTGGCAAACTCTTTCTTAAAGGGCAGGAGAGTAAATATTTTAGGCTTTGTGGGCTAGTCTCTGTCACAATTAATTAACTATGCTATTGTCATGTAAAAACAGTCACAGACAATATGTAAACATATGGATGTGACTGTGTTCTGATAAAACCTTATTTACAAAAACAGTCAACCGACCCAGAGGCTGTAGTTTGTCGATCCCTATTATAAAGGAAAGGGGATTAAATGTCATATAGCTTCTTGCTACTCAATGTGTGATTCTCTAATAGGCAACTTCAGCCTCACCTGACAGCTTGTTAGACATGCAGAATCTCAGGCTCCACCCCAGACCTACAGAATCAGAATCTGAATTTTAACAAGATGCTCAGGTGATTCTTAAAACATTAGAGTTTGGCAAGCACTGACATAGCAGTCATCAGGGAGTTCATCATGTTGGGCTAATTAGTTACAAGACAAATGGCAGAGAGCTCTAAGGTGAACTAGATAAAAGAATGGAATCAACACTAACTAGGACTTAAAGCAGGGTTTCTTGACTTGGTAGATAGAATTCAGGGGGTTTGTGAACTTGGATAGGAAAAATATTACATCTTTATTTTTTAATATGCTCTAACTGAACCTAACATTTCTTTAGATTATGAATGTAAACAACAAAATACAGTAGTTATCAGCAGTTTCTGTGACTCTGTATTAGTTTGTGAATATGGTATTTTCTTGTCACATTATAGTGGGCAAAGACACCAGCTGTGAACAATATGTGGTCACAAAATGGATGAGCTCTTTGAGAGAGTTACACCCTGGGGAGCACAACTAAGTTTGGATGACAAAAAATGCAGCAGCTGCTTGGAAGGAAAAGGCTGGGATGAAGCCAAGGAAACCGAGGGTACAGAGCACCCAGAAACGAGGGCTCACTAGATACCTTTTTGTGGGATTTACAGTTTTTAAACAAAATTCTTGAAAGAGGAAAAAGGGTGATGAGCATAGTCAAACAAAGCAGAAATACATCCCAGAGGGTATCAGCGTATAGTGGTTTTTAGAGCACTTGTTTTGGAGCCTGACACATGAGTTCAAATCTCTGTTCTGTCCTCTACCTGCCGCATGTTTTTGGACAAGTTTTTCAATCTCTCTGTGATTGCGCTCTCATTTATAAATGGGTAAGAAGGCTGGCGACCTCACAGACGTTGTAAGGGTTAAATGAGTTGCTATATGTAAAGTGCTCAGGAAAGACTCTAGTATAACCGTGAATGTTCACTAAGCATTAGCCAATAATCCTAATACTGCTGCTGCTACTACTACAACTACTGAAAGCTGGATGATGGTAATTTCAAAGATAACACTTTGTGGAGAAGCATGAAAATGACTTGAATGTTTTTTGGTTTATATACAGTCATTCACTGCATAACATCTGTTTGGGCAACGTCCGACCACACATAAGTCCATAGTCCCATAAGGTTATAATAGAGTTCAGAAATCCTGATCGGGATTAATGCGCGTCACGAAGTAGCGCCCATTTGTTATTATGAACCATTATATGTACCTCAAATTTTTAATATAACAGGCTTTATGGGGGTTGGCTCATAACTCGGACTTTCATAACCCCAGCATTGCCTATATATAATATGGTGTTCACACAATGTCCAAATCATATAACGTCCTATTTCACAGAACGTATTGTGGGCGTTAAGTGACGCGTGACTGTAATATTTAATTGTGTGATTACAACACTATGTATAAGTAGCATAACGAGACTTTGAATAAAATTTCAAAGGTGCCGGCCCTCTTTGCTGGATTTATCACACTCACCCCGACAGTGGCAACCCGCCTCAGAAATCCATGGTGCTTCTTCCTGCTCCAGTCTGAGTATCACATCTGGTTTGGTGCCTTCATAACCTGTCCCAGGGAAACGATCCAGGCCTTGGGCTGAGCTCCTTGGTCTTCAGTGTCTCTCAAGGGTGAGGACATGCAGTTTTAGAGGCTGTACAACCAATAGTGTACTCGGGAGGAGACCGTAACTGCACACAAACCTCGTCCAGAATTCAAAAGGAATGTGGAATTTAGGACCACTGAAACTGAAGCCAAACTCAATGAGGTGGCACAGTATAAGATTATGAATGCAGACTGTGCAGCCACACTGCTGGGGGTTCAGATCCTGGTGGATTACCCTGGGCAAGTTACTTCACCTCTCTGTGCTTCAGTTTCCAAATCTGTAAATTAGTGATACTAATAGCATCTACCTCATAAGCTCTTATGAGATTTAAATGAGTTAATAGTATTAAAATGACTAAAACTGGTACAAAGGAAGTACTAGATAAGTGTTAAAAAAAATAGATACTTCAGAAGCTCTACTGCTTGTAGCAACTGAGAAAGGAAAGGTGATCATTCAAGCGTAATGTGAATTATACAGTGAAACTGTCCTTACCCACTGAGACGAGGTTGCTATAGGTCTCCAGCATCACATCCCGGTACAGGGCCCTCTCAGCAGGATTCAGCTGGTGCCACTCCTCTTGGGTGAAGCCCACAACCACATCCTTGAATGACACAGATCTCTGCTGAAGGTGAAATGATTGACACTGAGTCGTGGAAAAATGTTGGTGTACTGACTTGTATAATGTTCATAGGTCAGAGCTTACAGTGATCATTTATCCAAGATTCCTGTTATACTCCTAACTTTGTGCTATACAGAAAAACAAAAATCATGCTGGAAACCACCCACTGTCATCCACAAACACTGACTGGAGACCCACTGTGTGTCTGTCTGGCCCAGTGCTGGCTGCTGAGGACACAGTCTTAGATGGTTCCTGACCTCAAGGAGCTCACGCCTGGAACAGGGAGAGCAACATGTAAAGCCATCAGGTTGACAGGTGTCATAACAGCTGTGATGGCAAGACACCCAGCTATCACATGCAGAAAGAAGTAAATGGTCCATTAAATTGTTCAGGGCCTGGTTTGGCTTCAGAGCTTAGGGATACGTGGAGCTGAGTCTTTTCTGCTAGAAAATGGGGGAAATAGCATTCCTTGCAAGAAGAGAAGTATAAACTAAGGCATGGAGGCAAAACCGTGATTTTAAGGGCAGCAAGTAAGTCAGAGTAACAGGGGAAGAGTGTACAGAGGCTTGTGAGTGATAAAATGATGGGCTTTAAGACAATGGGGAGTCTATCAAGGGAGATGTGTGTGTAGAAAGCACATTCTAGAAGTTATGTGGTGAGTTTCTTACATTTTCCATGAAGTGGTACAATGGTAACTCTAAGCTTACCGTGAAAAGTTAAGGATGTATATTTTATCCATACAGTAACCACTAAATAATACTGCAAAGAGGTGTTTCTAAATTAAATATATAGAATTAAAAATTTTTTCAATTAATCTACACAAAAAGGAATAGAGGAAAAAGAACAGATGGTACAAACGGAAAACAGATACTAAAATGACAGACACAAACTCAACCCTACCAATAATTACATTAGACATAATTTAATGTAAGACTAAATATCCCTAAAAGTCAGAGACTGTCAGACTGGATTAAAAAAGCAAGACCCAACTATATGCTGCATACAAGAGATACACTTCAAATACAAACTAACAGGTTGATATCAGCCACACAAAGGCCCCGTAGGGAAATGTCTTCAGCAAGAAGTGTCTTGAAATGCGAGTCTTGCCCAGGAGATGACAATATGCCTCTTACAGACAATGCAAATCATGGACTGTGTTTGCCTTTTTGCTGCGCTGCCAGGAAGACCACAGTTAGTGACTCTCTCAGGTGCTCTGCTTGGTATATCTGCATTCCAGCAAAAAATATTCTTTATATCACTGTTTGTAGTATCAAGTTTAGAAACCACCTGAATGCCTATAAATGGGGAAATAGTTAAATCGATCACATCCCATGCATATGATGGAGCATTACATACCTGATAAAAAGAAAGGTGTGCCTGTAAATACTAAAACAGAACAATCTCTAGGATATTTTAATTGGTTGGAAAAAAAGGTAGAGCAGTATGTTTAAGTGTCTTGCCACTGTATAATAGAGGCTATGATGTTCCACCCAGATCCCCCAACAAAAGTGAAGTGTTTATTATCCCAGAAGCTGGGAGAAGGCTGGCAGCTGCAGGCTTGAGACCGTCTCTGAGAATTGCTCTCAAAGGGAGCTGCCCCACTCAAGGTTATGTCCCCTCCTTGGGGCAGCCCACAACCAATGGCTGGTTGATTTTGGAATAGAAGGGCCCCCTTGCCTCCACTCAGGACACCATTGAGGACCATCCCAGGTCCAGAGCATCTTGTAAGATTAGCTAAGTCCTCTGCCCAGTCCTGCTCCCATCACT